CAGACTGAATTAAAAGAGGTTCCCGTACATAGACTGAATTAAAATAGGTTCAACTATACAGACTGAATTAAAAGAGGTTCCCGTACATAGACTGAATTAAAATAGGTTCAACTATATAGACTGAATTAAAATAGGTTCCACTATATAGACTAAACTAGGTTCCACTATATAGACTAAAATAGGTTCCACTATATAGACTGAATTAAAATAGGTTCCACTATATAGACTGAATTAAAATAGGTTCAACTATACAGACTGAATTAAAAGAGGTTCCCGTACATAGACTAAATTAAAATAGGTTCCATTGTATAGACTGAATTAAAATAGGTTCCACTATATAGACTGAATTAAAATAGGTTCAACTATATAGACTGAATTAAAATAGGTTCCACTGTATAGACTGAATTAAAATAGGTTCCACTGTATAGACTGAATTAAAATAGGTTCAACTATATAGACTGAATTAAAATAGGTTCAACTATATAGACTGAATTAAAATAGGTTCAACTATATAGACTGAATTAAAATAGGTTCAACTATATAGACTGAATTAAAATAGGTTCAACTATATAGAATGAATTAAAATAGGTTCCAGTATATAGACTAAATTAAAATAGTTTCAACTATATAGACTGAATTAAAAGTTGTAAAGTTTACTGGAAGTGATGTAGATTTGAAAATATCAACTAGGAGCTCTAGCTAACAAGTCAAATCTCACAGGGCCCTATACACAATGTTTTATCAACATAACCCAGCATGATGAATATACAGTCTTGTTGACATAACCCATAATGATCAATATACAGTCTTATCAACATAACCTATAATGATGAATATACAGTCTTATCAACATAACCCAGGATGATGAAGAAACAGTCTTATCAACATAACCTATAATGATGAATATACAGTCTTATCAACATAACCTATAATGATGAATATACGGTCTTATCAACATAACACAGCATGATGAATATACAGTCTTATCAACATAACCTATAATGATGAATATACAGTCTCATCGACATAACCCAGGATGATGAATATACAGTCTTATCAACATAACCTATAATGATGAATATACAGTCTTATCAACATAACCCATAATGATGAATATACAGTCTTATCAACATAACCCATAATGATGAATATACAGTCTTATCAACATAACCTATAATGATGAATATAGTCTTATCAACATAACCTATAATGATGAATATACAGTCTTATCAACATAACCTATAATGATGAATATACAGTCTTATCAACAAAACCTATAATGAGGAATATACAGTCTTATCAACATAACATATAATGACGAATATACAGTCTTATCAACATAACATATAATGATGAATATACAGTCTCATCGACATAACCCATAATGATGAATATACAGTCTCATCGACATAACCCATAATGATGAATATACAGTCTCATCGACATAACCCATAATGATGAATATACAGTCTTATCAACATAACCTATAATGATGA